CCTGCTCCCCCTCACGTGGCGGGGCCACGACCAAGACGTTTTGGCCACACCCGAAAGAAAAAGAAAAAAAAAAAATCTCGTTGTGCGATAGGGCCACGAACGAGATATCTCGGCCACGCCTGAAGGAGAGGGCACGGAAGGGGAAGGGAGGGGGAGGGAAACGAAAAAAAAAGAAAAAAAAAGGGCCACGTCCCTGACTGAACTTCTAAAAACGCCCACCCGAGTTTTAACTGTATTTGAAACTTGGTCCCTGACTAGACTGCTAAAATGCAGTTTGAAATTCAATTATAAACTGCTTTCATGACAACGCCTAGTTACCTAAAAAAAAATAGAAAGCCAATGAAGTCAATGATTCAATGATAGGGCCTCGCCACACCACTAATATGGTCCACTATCGAATTATATTTTTTCGAATGTTTTGCATCACCACATCATCCTATGGAGAATGAGACTTCAAAATTCTTCGATAGGTGTCAGAAATATGAATTCGATAGCCCTATCGAACCAACTGCGAACATCCGCCTACAATGACCTTCTTTCATAGCACACTTTCTGCACCATCTAAAAACCGCCCACGCACGCAGTAGTCGCCACAACCCTCACACTGAATAGCGTCAGTTTTTTGTTTTTTTATTTTCGATAGTCGAGTAGTGAATTTCCAGAGGGCAGCAACATTCGTGGTTCGGAAACCCGCCAGATGCAATCCGACAAACCATTTATAAGGAGAGGCGCCGTCGCCATACAACACTATTGACTCTGGACCAGGAATGGAGAACGTTCGATACGCCACCGATTCGACAATGCTGCTTGGCAAAAGGGGGGGGTTCTATCGAATTCCGGTCTATCGACAATTTCTAACACTTGTTGAAAAAAAACGCAGTTCTATAGTGGTGTGGCGAGGCCCATATACATATGACTAGGCTTATGATGATGACAAGTCCTTGCCTATTGAGAGTACGGGCATCGTTAGACACTCCTATTGAAATTCTCGGGCAATAGGAAAGATTCCTAATGGCTCAAAAGGAAATTTGGGCTCTTCGTTCCGCCTGTCCTTTGGGACGTCGCCCGAGGACATTTCCTAACACCTATGTCAGGAAAAAAAAAAAAAAAAAAGTTGTGCTTCAGGCCTTCAGCCAATAGGGTGCCGCCACAATCCAGATTCTCGACTGTAATGTCTATCTACCCGTGTGCTCTCTCCTCTCCGTGAAACGTGGATTCCTTGTGCCCAAGGGACCTTGCGAGGTCCCTTGGGCACAAGGAAGAAATGGCTGGGAAAATTCCTATTGCCCGAGGAATTTTCCAGGATAGGTGGAAAGAACAATTCCTTGGGGATTTCCCGTCCCCAAGGATTGCATCCCCCACGATAGGTGGAATGAACAATTCCTTGGGGATTTCGCGTCCCCGAGGAGTGTCTAACGACGCCCTAAAGGTGACACGGGGACCCGTAAATAGCCAGTGCGGAGGGGGGGGGACGGGGGGGGATGTGGTGATGTACAGGAGGCGGCGACTGTTGTTGTGCTCCGGTGGGAGTGTAGTGTGCTGGGAATAGTTCTCCAGGGTCACTGTAATTGTTTTGATTTATTCACTTTATGGTCTTGTTCATTGAGACATTTTTTTTTTCCTTTTACTATCGTTTACTTGGTGTGACTAATAATCAGTTCGCGAACCGTTGAAGAGCAACGGAGCGCCGCTCCATGACGATATTTTTGCAGATGGCAGTGTCGTCTTTCTTGTGCCATTTTCGAATATTTGTGTCCTTGGATGCACTTTTGTGTCATCTATGAGTTCTTTTGTTGTGTTAATCGATCGTTGCGGATTTTTTGTGTCATGCAGTTCATGCAGCAACAACAGAAGCACCTTCTTGTCTATCCATGCGCATTTCCTGTGGCATTGAATTCAACCACCAATAAATCAGTCAATGAATTAATCGATCAATCGATGAAGCAATTAGTCGACCAACCGATCAATCAATCAATGGATCAATCGATCGGCCGCCTAACCGACCAATCGATAAATCAATCAATCAATCAATCAATCAATCAATCAATCAATCAATCACTCAATCAATCAATCATTCGATAGAGAAATATAATTTCCAGAGACGCGGAAGGAAAATCTTGCAAAATGTACCATTCAATACATGCCCTACATCCGTTAATGAAATTGAAAAAACACATCCCCTCTTGTTGTATTATCCCTGACAAGGTGTCATTAATCACATGACCTTGACTGAGCGGTGCATGCACTGCACAAATCCACAATAAAACGAAAACGAAACTGACCACATCCGCGGGCGGATGCCACGAACATGAGCGTCGGCGGGCGACGTGGCACACTTTATAACTACGGCGAAACAAAACGGTCGCACCAACTTCAAAGCGCCCCTCGATCGCATACACACATCTACACATCCCCCCCTACCCGCCTGGACCCTCGCCACCCCTGCCTTCGCCTGCCAGCTTGACCCCGATTCCAATCTTGCATCGACACCCCTCCCCCCTGCCCCCACACTCGCCATACACAAAACAACACGACGGGCGTGCCGCCGAAGACCGTGGACCATTCCACTCCACGAGCGAAGCATGCTGCCACGATGCACAGGACGACCATAACCACCACATTCACTTCCCTGCTTCGTCGTCGGGACCGTCCTCCTCGCGATCGCCATCAAAAGGTCACGTCCTGATCCAGTCCATCTTCACCGCGATGTTGGGGTCCACCAAACCAGCGTGGTAGTTGAAGCGCACTCCACATGAAGCCCACTCCGGGATGTAGTTAGGAAACACACGCATCGTCAAGGGCGACTTTTGGGGGCGAGTCACCACGGCATTCGCGGACTGGATAACATGCCAGCGCCAATTGAAGAACTGCGAACCAGCCGCCACAATCGTGGCCTTCGCCACGAGCTGCGAGCAGTACGACGCCTTCTCGTAGGAGCGCGCATCATCGCCCCCCTTGTGCATGATCCACATACACGAGGCGAGAAGCAGGCGAAAAGCATCCCTGACTCTGCTAAGTCTTGACTGAGACATTTCCCTGCCCGTCATGTTGCCATTTTCCCTGCCCTTCTCGGAGCGCATCGTGAAAGCAGGACGACAAACACATCACCGTGGACTCCTGATGGGCTGCCATGTCGTCGTCCTCGGGCCTATCCTCGATACATGCCCCCGCATACCACAATGGAATGTCCATTTTCAAAGCGAGCGTGTGGTAGACAACACTAGGCGGCACTACCCTCGACCACTCCACGCTCTGCCAAACTGCTTCGCCAGATCAGTGGGGTAATCGACGACGACATACGACTCGGCGCGAGCAAAACCATCGGACCTTGAAGGCGACCTGAATATCCATTCGTGGATGACGCGCATAGCGACGTTCTCCGCCCGTCTCGCTCGTCGTAGAGCTGGCTCTCGTTGCGCCGGATCTTCGATTCGCATGTGCAGAACATCAGGGGTTGGCATGATGACGCCATGCGGAGCGGTGGTGCCTGCATCACCGTTCACGATTGCACAATTATAGTCCGTGCAATCATGCACGACCGTGCAATCATGCACGGCGTCTGCAATCATGCGACCAGGTCCACTTCCACTGAACGTTTTCCCGTACCCCCAGAGCTTGGATTTCGCCTCCAACTCTTCCTCGTGACGCGTTCTTTTCTTCTTCAAGTTCAGAGACTCGTCTTCCTCGTCGGCTGCCCGCGGAGTTTCATCCTTGCTCTCTTCTTTCCTCCCCACCTTTGCGACCCTCCGATCTTCTCGCCTTTCTCCCGCAGCAGTGGCGGTGGCATGGATATTGGCACTTCCTGGTTGTGCGGAAAGTGAGACAACCCTTGACGACCCCCTGACCATCAACGTGTTCGACGGCTCCACGTGGCGCAAGGGAGACCTAGGGACTTGTCCTTTATCCGTGCGTTCGACAACGGAAATGATTGTGGACATTGAACTGACATGCCTTTGCCGTGCCATGTCGTTAATGACAATCCCTTGAGAACGCATGGTTCCACTCCCGTCGCCACGTGGAGTTCCTTGAGGACCATGGTTGGCTTGTGGAATTATCCGCTCCCTGCTGACACCGTCTCTGCCGAAGCCAAGTGTTGGTGTGGCCGTAGAAGGGATATCCATGGGCGACACGTCCTGTCCCCCTTGACCCGGGATCTCACCCTTCGATTCGTTAGCCCCGCGCAACTTTTGGGACTTCGAGACGTGGCCCCTTTCAGTTTGCCCACCAGCGCCTTTATTGGATCCGCCCTCTCACCTTTTCAATTGGGACTGTCCATGTGGCGCCACGAGCTACCGATCGCTCTCGCCCGTCTCGCAAATGAGGGCGTTGTGAGTCTCTCGCGTGCCGCGGACGCCGCCGCAGACAAATAAAGGAGAGAGAGATGCGCAAGTGAAGACACCGCTGGTGTTTGGTGATGGCGAGGATGATCGACTCCTGACGCGCTGGAAGACAGCCTCGAGGCGAGGCAAGGAATGGACGAGCACGAAGCGCAGGACATGAAAACCAGCAGACATGCACCGACCTTTATAGTGGTGGAGGTGACCTTTCCCTGCCATGATGCGCTCCCAGAATGATGGCCTCGATTTGACCCATCCAGGCCGGGGACATTCCAACCTCGGGGAACTTCCTACTTCCTATATATAAATATATATATATATATATGTATATATATATATATATATAGATCTACACTGTAATCGTTTGAACGCGAATTTAAATTTGCGTTCAAAAATGAACGTCGTTGATTTTTTTTTTTTTTTTTTTTTTAA